TTTTTTTTTTTTTTTTTTTTTTTTTTTTTTTTTTTCGGTACTACGACTTTCCCACTGCCTCCCCTAAACACCGCCGACGCTCCCGTGGACTAAGAGGCACTCCCCCAGCCCTGACAGACCCCAGCGCGAACACATCAATCACGTTCAGGGGCGTTTAGTGAACGCTCGTTCACAACGTTCAAAAACTGAATGAGGAACGCGCGTTTAATGAACGCTAGGTATCATAGTTCCCACCTTCTTCCACCTCCACCTCCCTCACCTATCAGCCATAGCCAAGCACCTTCACACCTTCTTCCACTTGCACCTCCTTCACCCATCCAGCATAGCCAAGCACCTTCACACCTTCTTCCACCACCACCTCCTTGACCAATCCGCCATAGCCAAGCACCTTCACTTATATACCCTAGCCAAGCACCTTCACATCATGTTCCACCACCACCTCCTTCACCCATTCACCTTAGCCAGTCACCTTCACACCTTCTTCCACCTCCACCTCCTTCACCCATCCACAAAAGCGAAGCACCTTCACACCTTCTGTCACCTCCACCTCCTTCACCCATCCGCCATAGCCCAGCAGCTTCACACCTTCTTCCACCTCGAGCTCCTTTACGCATCCACAATAGTCAAGCACCTTCACGCCTTCTTCCACTTCCACCTCATTAGCCAAACACCTTCACCCCTTCTTTCACCTCCACCTCCTTCACCCACTCACCCTAGCCAGGCACCTTCAAACTTTCTTCCTTGTCCACCTCCTTCACCCATCCACCATAGCCAAACACCTTCACACCTTCTTCCACCTCCACCTCCTCCACCCATTCCTCATAGCCAAGTACCTCCACACCTTCTTCTACCTGCACCTCCACCCGTCCACCTCTGCCAAGCACCTTCACACCTCTTTCCACGTTCACCTTCTTCACCCATCCACCCTAGCCAGACTCTTTCACACATTTCCCCCATCTCCACATCCTTATAACCCACATACCATAGCCAAGCACCTTCATACCTTCTTCCACGTGCATCTCCTTGAACCATCCTCCATAGCCAAGCACCTTCACACCTCTTTTCACCTCCACCTCCTTCACCCATTTACCATAGCTAAAAACCTTCACACCTTCTTCCTCCTCTACCTCCTTTACCTATCCACCATAGCCAAACACCTTCACACCTTCTTCCACCTCCACCTCCTTCACCCATCCAACATAGCCAAGAACCTTTACACCTTCTTCCACCTCCACCTCGTTACCCAAACACCTTCGCCCCTACTTCCACCTCCACCTCCTTCACCCACTCACCCTAGCCAGGCACCTTCAGACCTTCTTCCTCGTCCACCTCCTTCACCCATCCACAATAGCCAAACACCTTCACACCTTCTTCCACGTCCACCTCCTTCACCCATCCCCCATAGCCAAGAAGCTCCACATCTTCTACTACCTGGACCTCCACCCGTCAACCACTGCCAAGCACCTTCACACCTCTTTCCACGTTCACCTACTTCACCCATCCACCCTCGCTAGACTCTTTCACACATTTTTTCCATCTCCACATCCTTAAAACCCACACACCATAGCCAAGCATCTTGAACCTTCTTCCACCTCCACCTCCACTTGTCAGCCATAGACAAGCACCTTCAAACCTTCTTCCACATGCACCTCATTCACCCATCCTCCATAAAGAAGCACCTTCACACCTTCTTCCACCTTCACATCCTTCACCCATTGACCCTAGCGAGACACCTACACACCTTCTTCCTCCTCTACGTCCCTCAACCATCCACCATATCCAAACACCTTCACACCTACCACCTCTACCTCGTTCACCCATCCAGCATAGCCAAGCACCTTTACACCTTCTTCCACCTCCACCTCGTTAGCGAAACACATTCATCGCTTCTTGCACATCCACCTCCTTCACCCATTCACCCTAGCCAGGCACCTTCACACCTTCTTCCTCTTCTACCTCCTTCACCCATCCATGATAGCCAAACAGCTTCACACCTTCTTCCACCTCCACCTCCTTCACCCATCCCCCATAGCCAAGCACCTTTACAACTTCTTCCACCTCCACCTCCACCCGTCCAAAACAACTAAGCACTTTCACACTTCTTTCCACCTTCAGCTACTTCACCCATTCATCCTAGCTAGTCTAAGCCAGACTCTGTCACGCCTTTTGCCACCTCCACATCCGTATAACCCACACACCATAGCCAAAGACCTTCACACCTTCTTCCACCTTCACCTCCTTCACCTATCGGCCATAGCCAAACACCTTCATTCCTTCTTCTACTTGCACCTCCTTCACCCATCCAGCATAGCCAAGCACCTTCACACCTTCTTCCACCACCACCTCCTTGACCCATCCACCAGAGCCAAGCACCTTCACACCTTCTTCCCCCTCCATCTACTTCACTCATTCACCCTAACCAGTCACCTTAACACCTTCTTCCACCTCCACTTCCTTCACCCATCCACAATAGCTAAGCACCTTCACACCTTCTGCCACCTCCACCTCCTTCACCCATCCGCCATAGCCAAGCACCTTCACACCTTCTTTCACCTCCACCTCATTTACGCATCCACAATAGCCAAGCACCTTCACACCTTCTTCCACCTCCACCTTCTTCACCCATTCACCCTAGTTAGGCACCTTCACACCTTCTTCCTCCTCTACCTCCCTCACCCATTTACCATATTCAAGCAGCTTCACACCTTTTTCCACCTCGACCTCCTTCACCCATCCACTATAGCTAAGCCCCTCCACCTCCTTCATCCATCCGTCATAGCCAAGCACCTTCACACCTACTTCCACCTCCACCTCCTTCACCCATCCAGCATAGGTAAGCCCCTACACACCTTCTTCCACCTCCACCTCCTTCACCCTTCCACAATAGTGAAACACCTTCACACCTTATTCCAGCTCTCCCTCCTTCACCCATCCGCCATAGGCAAGCACCTTCACACCTTCTTCCACCTCAACCTCCTTTAGCGATCCACCAGAACCAAGCACCTTCACACCTTCTCCCACCTCGACCTCCTACACCCATCCACCATAGCCAAGCACCTTCACACCTTGGTCCACTCCCACCTCCTTCACCTATTCACCATAGTCACTCACCTTCACATCTTCTTCCTCCTCCACCTCCTTCACCCATTCACCATAGTTACACACCTTCACACCTTCTTCCACCTCCGCCTCCTTTAGCCATCCACCATAGCAAATCACCTTCACACCTTCTCCCAGCTCGACCTCCTTCACCCATCCACCATAGCCACGCACCTTCACACCTTGGTCCACTCCCACCTCCTTCACCTATTCACCCTAGCCAGTCACCTTCACACCTTCTTCCTCCTCYACCTCCTTCACCCATCCACCATAGTGAAACATCTTCACACCTTCTTCAATCTCCACCTCCTTAACCCATCCGCCATAGCCAGTCACCTCCTTCACCTCCATCACACCTTCTTCCTCCTTCACCTCCCTTTGTTATCCACAATAGCGAAGCACCTTCACGCGTTCTTCCAACTCCACCTCCTTCACTCATCCACCATAGCCAAACACCTTCACAGTTGCTTCCACCTCCAACTCCCTTAACCATCCACCATAGTGAAGCACCTTCACAACTTCCTCTACATCCACCTCCTTCATCCATCCACCATAGCCAAGTACCTTCACACCTTGTTCAACCCCCACCTCCTTCACCCATTCACCCTAGCAAGTCATCGCCACACCTTCTTCCTCCTCTACCTCCTTCACCTATCCACGCTAGTTAAGCCACTTCACCCCTTTTTCCTCCTCTACCTCTTTCACCCATCCACCACAGCCAAGCAACTGCACATCTTCTTCCACCTCCACCTCCTAATCCATCGACCATAACCAAGCACCTGCACACCTTGTTCCACCTCCACCTCCTTCATCCATCGACCATAGGCTAGCACCTTCACACCTTCTTCGACCTCCACAACGTTCACTCATCCCCCATAGCAATGTACCTCCCCGCACCTTCTTCCACCTCCTCCTCCTTCACCCGTCCACCATAGCCAACCACCTTCACACCATCTTCTAGCTCCACCTTCTTCACCCATCCACCCTAGCCAGACCCCTTCACACCTTTTTCCTCCTCTACCTCCTTCACCCATCCACAATAGCGACGCACGTGCACACGTTCTTCCACCTCCATCTCCTACCCCCATCCGCCATTGCCAAGCACCTTCATACCTTCTTCCGCCTCCACCTCCTTTACGCATCCACCATAGCCAAACATCTTCACATCTTCTTCCACCTCCACCTCCTTCACCGATTCACCCTAGTCAGGCACCTTCACACCTTCTTTGTCCTCTACCTCCTTCACCCATCCACCATAGCCAAACACCTTTACACCTTCTTCCACGTCCACCTCCTTCACCCTTCCACAATAGTGAAACACCTTCACACCTTCTTCCACCTGTCCCTTATTCACCGATCGGCCACAGCCAAGCACCTTCACACCTTCGTCGACCTGCACCTAATTTAGCCATCCACCATAGCCAATCACCTTCACAGAGTTCACACCTTCTCCCACCTCGACCTCCTTCACCCATCCACTACAGCCAAGCACTTTCACACCTTGGTCCACTGCCACCTCCTTCACCTATTCACCCTAGCCAATCACCTTCACACCTTCTTCCTCCTCTACCTCCTTCACCCATCCACCATAGTCAACCACCTTCACACCTTCTTCGATCTCCACCTCCTTCAGCCATGCACCATAGGCAGTCACATCCACACCTTCTTCCTCCTTCATCCCCCTCGTCTATCCACAATAGCGAAGCACCTTCACACGTTCTTCCAACTCTACCTCCTTCACTCATCCGCCATAACCAAACACCTTTACACCTTCTTCCACTTCCACCTCCTTTACCCATCCACCATAGCCAAGCACCCTCACAACATCCTCCACATCCACGTCCTTCGTCCATCCACCATAGCCAAGTAGCTTCACACCTTGTTCCACCCCCACCTCCTTCACCCATTCACCCCAGCAAGTCACCTCCAAACCTTCTTCCTCCTCTACCTCCTTCACCCATCCACTCCAGCCAAGCCACTTCACACCTTTTCCTTCCTCTACCTCTTTCACCCATCCACCATAGCCATGCACCTGCACACCATCTTCCACCTCGACCTCCTTCATCCATCCACCATAGCCAAGCACCTTCACACCTTCTTCCACCTCGACAATGTTCACCCATCCCCCATAGCAATGTACTTCCCCGCACCTTATTTCATCTCCTCCTCCTTTCCCCGTCCACCATAGCCAAACACCTTCACACCTTCTTCCAGCTCCACCTCCTTCACCCATCCACCCTAGCCAAACCCCTTCACACCTTTTTCCTCCTCTACCTCCTTCACACATCCACAATATCGAAGCATATGCACACCTTCTTCCACCTCCACCTCCTTTCCCCATCCGCCATAGCCAAACACCTTCATACCTTCTTCCACCTCCAACTCCTTTACACATCCACCATAGCGAAGCACCTTCACATCTTCTTCCACCTCCACCTCCTTCACTCATTCACCCTAGTCAGGCACCTTCATACCTTCTTTCACCTCTACCTCCTTCACCCATCCACCATAGTCAAGCACCTTCACACTTTCTTCCACTTCGACCTCCTTCACCCATCCACCATAGCCAAGAACCTCCACACCTTCTTCCAACTCCACCTCCTTCATCCATCCAATATAGGTAAGCACCTTCACACCTCTTCCACCTCCACCTCCTTCACCCATGCTCAATAGCGAAACACCTTCACACCTTCGTCCACCTCCACCTCCTTCACCCATCCAGAATAGTCAAACACCTGCACACCTTCTTCCACATCCATCTCCTTTACCCATCCACCATAGTCAAGCACCTTCACACCTTCTCCCACCTCCACCTCCATCACCCATCCACCATAGCGAAGCACCTTCTCATCTTGGTCCACCCCCACCCTCTTCACCCATTCACCTTCGCCAGACACTTTCACACCTTATTCCACCTCCACCTCCTTCTCCCATCCCCAATAGCGAAGCACCTTCACACCTTCTTCCACCTCCACCTCCTTCACCCATCCGCCATAGCCAAGCACCTTCACACCTTTTTCCACCTCCACCTTCTTTACACATCCACCATAGCAAAGCACGTTCACACCTTCTTTCACCTCCACCTCCTTCACCCACTCAACCTAGTCAGGCAACTTCACACCTTCTTCCTCCTCTACCTCCTTCACCCATTTACCATAGCCAAGCACCTTCACACCTTCTTCCACCTCGACCTCCTTCACCCATCCACCGTAGTCAAGCACCTCCACCTCCTTCATCCATCCGCCATAGCCAAGCACCTTCACACCTTCTTCCACCTCCACCTCCTTCACCCATCCAGCATAGGTAAGCACCTACACACCTTCTTCTACCTCCACCTCCATCACCCTTCCACAATAGCAAAACACCTTAACACCTTCTTCCACCTCCCCCTCCTTCACCCATACGCCATAGCCAAGCACCGTCACACCTTCTCCCAACTCAACCTCCTTCACCCATCCACCATAGCCAAACACCTTCGCACCTTGGTCCACTCCCACCTCATTCATCTATTCACCCTCAATTTCACACCTTGTTCCTCATCTACCTTCTTCAACCATCCACCAAAGTCAAACACCTTCACACCTTCTTCCATCTTCACCTTCTTCACCTATCCGCCATAGCCAGTCACCTTCACACCTTCTTACTCCATTACCTCCCTCAGCTATCCACAATAGCGAAGCACCTTCAGAAGTTTTTCCAACTGCACCTCCTTCACTTATCAGCCATAATCAACCACCTTCACACGTTCTTCCACCTCCACCTCCTTTACCAATCCACCATAGTCAAGCCCCTTCACAACATCTTCCATATCCACCTCCTTCACTCATCCACCATAGCCAAGTACCTTCACACCTTGTTCCAACCCCACCTCCTTCACCCATTCACCCTAGCAAGTCACCTCCATACCTTCTTCCTCCTCTACCTCCATCATCCATCCACCATAGCCAAACACCTTCACACCTCCTTCACCCATTCACCCTAGTCATGGACCTTCACACCTTCTTTCTCCTCTACCTCCTTCACCCATCAGAGAAGGTTAACAACAGTCACATTTTTCATCATCACTTTAAGACACCCTTCACCACTTTTGCCTGCCTAGACAGGTGGTTTTCACGGTATTCGGGCCTTTCACCACTTTAGGACCATTCTGGTCTGAAAATCCTGAATGGTCCTGAAGTGGTAAAAACTCCGAAGACCCTGAAAACCATCTGTTTATGCAGGCTGCATCCTCAAATGGTGAAGGGTGTTTTTCATGGTCTTCAGACCTTTCACCATTTCATGTCCATTCAGGATTTTCAGACTGCCCAAGATTCTCACTTGAGCACTTCAGGACACCCTTCACCACTTCAGGATACAACCTGCCTAAACAGGTGGATTTCAAAGTCTTCGGACCTTTCACCACTTCAGAACCATTCAGGATTTTCAGACTGCCAAAATCTCTCACTTCAGAATTTTCATTCCTGAATTCTCAGCTACCTGATAACCGCTTGTGTCACCCATCCACCATAGCCAAGCACCTTCACACCTTCTTCCACTTCGACCTCCTTCACCCATCCACCATAGCCAAGAACCTTCACACCTTCTTCCACCTCCACCCGCTTCATCCATCCAGCATAGGTAAGCACCTTCACACCTTCTTCCACCTCCACCTCCTTCACACATCCACAATAGCGAAACACCTTCACACGTTCTTCCACCTCCACCTCCTTCACCCATCCGCCATAGCCAGACACCTTTACACCTTCTTCCACCTCCACCTCCTTTACGCATCCACCATAGCCAAGCACCTTCAGACCTTCTTCCAGCTCCACCTCCTTCACCCATTCACCCTAGTCGGACACCTTCAAACCTTCTTCCTCCTCCTTCACCCATCCACCATAGCCAAGCACCTTCACACCTTCTTCCACCTCGACCTCCTTCACCCATCCACCATAGCAAAACACCTCCTCACCTTCTTCCACCTCTGCCCCCTTCATCCATCTGCCATAGCCAAGCATTTTCACACCTTCTTCCACCTCCACCTCCTTCACCCATCCAGCATAGTCGAGCACCTTCACACCTTCTTCCACCTTCACCTCCATCACCCATCCACAAAAGCAAAACACATTCACATATTCTTCCACCTCCACCTCCTTCGCACATTCACTCTAGCCGCCTTCTTCACACCTTCTTCCTCATCTACCTCCTTCATCCTCCCACTATAGCCAAACACTTTCATACCTTCTTCCACCTCCACCTCCTTCGAGAGAAGGTTAACAACAGTCATATTTTTCATCACCACTTCAGGACACCCTTCACCACTTCAGGATGCAGCCTGCCTAATTAGGTGGTTTTCAGGGTCTTCGGACCTTTCACCACTTCAGGACCATTCATGTGTGAAAATCCTAAATGGTCCTGATGTGGTGAAAGTTCCGAAGACCCTGAAAACCACTTTTTTACGCACGCAGCATCCTCAAGTAGTGAACGATGGTTTTAATGGTGTTCAGAACTTTCACCACTTCAGGACCATTCAGGATTTTCAGACTGCCCAAAACTCTCACTTCCCCACTTCAGGACACCCTTCACCACTTCAGGATGCAGCCTGCCTAAACAGGTGGTTTTGAGGGTCTTCGGACCTTTCACCTCTTCATGACCATTCAGGATTTTAAGACTACCAAAAACTCTCACTTCAGAATTTTCATTCCTTAATTTTCAGCTACCCGATAACCGCTTGTGCCTCCTTCACCCATTCACCCTAGCCAGACACCTTCACACATTCTTCCTCCTTTATCTCCTTCAGAATTCCACCATAGCCAAAGACCTTTACAACTTCTTCCACCTCCACATTCTTCACACATTCAACATAACCAAACACCTTCACACCTTCTTCCACCGCCACCTCCTTGACCCATCCCCCATTGCCAAGCACCTTCACAACTTCTTCCACCTCCACCTCGTTCACCGATTCACCATAGCCAAGCACCTTCACCCCCTTTTCCTCCTCCACCTCCTTCACCCATCCACTATAGCCAAGCAATTGTACACCTTCTTCCACCTCGCCCTCCTTTATCCATCGACCATAGCCAAGCACCTTCACACCTTTTTCCACCTCTACATCGTTCACCCATCCCCCATAGCGAAGTACCTCCCCACATCTTCTTTCACCTCCACTTCCTTCACCCGTCCATCATAGCCAACCACCTTCACACCTTCTTCCAGCTCCACCTCCTTCACCCATCCAACTCCGTCCACAATAGCCGACCACCGTCACACCTTCTTCCATCTTCACCTCCTTCAACCATCCACCATAGCCAAACACCTTTACAGCTTCTTCCACCTCCACCTCCTTTACGCATCCACCATACCCAAAGCACCTGCACACCTTCTTCCACCTCCACCTCCTTCACCCATTCACCCTTGTCAGACACCTTCACACCTTCCTCCTCCTCTACCTCCTCCGCCCATCCACAATAGCGAAGCACCTTCACACCTTCTTCTATCTCCACCTCCTCCATCCACCCACCTTCACACCTTCTTCCACCTCCACCTCCTTTACGCATCCACCATAACAAAGCACCTTCACACATTTCTCCACCTCCACCTCCTTCACCCATTCACCCTAGTCAGGCACCTTCACACCTTCTTCCTCCTCTACCTCCCTCAGCTATCCACAATAGCGAAGCACCTTCACACGTTCTTCCAACTCCATCTCCTTCACTTATCCGCCATAGTTAAACACCTTCAAACCTTCTTCCACCTCCACCTCCTTTACCCATCCACAATAGCCAAGCACCTTCACTTCTTCTTTCACATCCACCTCCTTCACTCGTCCACTATAGCCAAGTACCTTCACACCTTGTTCCACCCCCACGTCCTTCACCCATTCACCCTAGCCAGTCACCATCACACCTTCTTTCTACTCTACCTCCTTCACCTATGCACCCTAGCCAAGCACCTTCATACCTTCTTCCACCTCCACCTCCTTTACGCATCCACCATAGCAAAGCGCCTTCACATCTTCTTCCACCTCCACCTCCTTCACCCATTCACCCTAGTCAGGCACCTTCACACCTTCTTCCTCCTCTACCTCCATCACCCATCCACCATAGCCCAGCACCTTCACACCTTCTTCCACCTCGACCTCATTCAGCCATCCACCATAGCCAAGCACCTCCACACCTTCTTCCACCTTCACCTCCTTCATCCATCCGCCATAGACAAGTGACTTAGCACCTTCTTCGACCTACATCTCTTTCATCCATCAAGCATAGTTAAGCACCTTCACACCTTCTTCCAGCCCTACCTCCTTCACCCATCCACAATAGCAAAACACCTTCACACCTTCTTCCACCTCTACCCCCTTCACCCATCCGCAATAGCCAAACAACTTCACATCTCCCACCTCCACCTCCTTTACCCATCCACCATAGCCAAGCACCTTCACACCTTCTTCCACCTCCACCTCCTTTACGCATCCACCATAGCCAAGCACCTTCACACCTTCTTCCACTTCCACCTCCTTCACCCATTCACCCTAATCAGGCACCTTCACACCTTTTTCCTCCTCTACCTCCTTCACCCATCCACCATAGCCAAGCACCTTCACACCTTCTTCCACCTCGACCTCCTTCACCCATCCACCATAGCCAAGCACTTCCACACCTTCTTCCACCTCCAGCTCTTTCATCCATCCATCATAGGTAAGCACCTTCACACCTTCCACCTCCACCTCCTTCACTCATCCACAATATCGAAACAACTTCACATTGTCTTCCACCTCCACCTCCTTCACCCATCCGCCATAGCCAAGCACCTTCATACCTTCTTCCACCTCCATCTCCTTTACCCATCGACTATAGCCAAGCACCTTCACACCTTTTCCCACCTCCACCTCTTTCACCCATCCACCATAGGCAAGCACCTTTACATCTTGTTCCAATCCCACCTCCTTCACACATTTACCCTCGCCAGTCACGTACACACCTTTTTCCACCTCTACCTCCTTCACCCATCCACAATAGCGAAGCACCTTCACACCTTCTTCCACCTCCACCTCCTTCACCCATCCGCCATAGCCAAGCACCTCCACACCTTCTTCCATTTCCACGTCGTTTACTCATCCACCATAGCCAAACACGTTCGCGCATTCTTCTACCTCCACCTCCTTCACCCATTCGCCCTAGTCAGGCACCTTCACACCTTCTTCCTCCTCTACCTCCTTCACCCATCCACCATAGCCAAGCATCCACCATAGCCAAGCACCTTTGCCTAACACCTTCGCGCCTTATTCCACCTCCACCTTGTTCACCCATTCACTCTTGTCAGGCACCTTCACACCTTCTTCCTCCTCTACCTCCTTCATCCATCCACCATAGGCAAGCACCATAACACCTTCTTCCATGTCCACCTCCTTCATCTATCCGCCATAGCCAAGCACCTTCACACCTTCTTCCACCTCCACCTCCTTCGCCCATTCAGCATAGTCTAGCACCTTCAGACCTTCTTCCACCTCCACCTCCTTCACCCATCCAGAATACCGAAACAGCTTCACACCTTCTTTCATCTCCACCTCCTTCACCCATCCGTCATAGCTAAGCACCTTCAAACCTTCTTCCACCATCACCTCCTTTACCTATCCACCATAGCCAAGCACATTCACACCTTCTTCCTCATCCATCTCCTTCATCCATCCACCAAGCCAAGTACCTTCACACCTTGTTCCACCCCCACATCCTTCACCCATTCACCCTTGTCAGTCACCATCACACCTTATTCCTCCTCTACCTCCTTCACCCATCCATCGTAACCAAGCACCTTTACACCTTCTTCCACCTCCACCTCCTTTACGCATCCACCATAACAAAGCACCTTTACACCTTCTTCCACCTCCACCTCCTTCACCCATTCACCCTAGTCAGGCACCTTCACACCTTCTTCCTCCTCTATCTCCTTCACCCATCCACGATAGGCAAGCACCTTCACACCTTCTTCCACCTTGACCTCCTTCAGCCATCCACCATAGCCAAACACGTCCACACCTTCTTCCACCTCCACCTCCTTAATCTATCCGCCATAGCCAAGTAACTTCACACCTTCTTCCACCTCCATCTCTTTCACCCATTCAGCATAGTTAAGCACCTTCACACCTTCTTCCACCCGCACCTCCTTCACCCATCCATAATAGCAAAACACCTTTAAACCTTCTTCCACCTCCAACCCCTTCACCCATCTCCACTAGCCAAACACCTTCACATATCTTACCGCCACCTCCTTTACCCACGCACCATAGCCAAGCACCTTCACACCTTCTCCCACCTCCACTTACTTTACGCGAGAGAAGGTTAACAACAGTCGTATTTTTCATCACCACTTCAGGACACCCTTCACCACCTTAGGATACAGTCTGCCTAAACAGGTGTTTTTCAGGGTCTTCGGACCTTTCACCACTTTAGGACCATTCAGGTCTGAAAATCCTAAATAGTCTTGAAGTGGTGAAAGCTCTGAATACCCTGAAAACCACCTGTTTAGTCATGTTGCATCCTCAAGTGGTGAAGGGTGGTTTTCATGGTCTTCGGACCTTTCACCACTTTAGGACCATTCAGGATTTCATGTTACGCAAAACTCTCAATAAACCACTTCAGGACACCCTTCTCCACTTCAGGATGCAGCCTGCCTAAACGGGTGGTTTTCAAGGTCTTCGGACCTTTCACCACTTCAGGACTATTCAGCATTTTTAGACTGCACAAAACTCTCACTTTAGAATTTTCATTCCTGAATTTTCAGCTACCCGATAACCGCTTGTGCTTTACTCATCCACCAAAGCCAAGCACCTTCACACCTTCTTCCACTTCCACCTCCTTTACACATTCACCCTAGTCAGGCACCTTCACACCTTCTTCCTCCTCTACCTCGTTCACCCATCCATCATAGTCAAGCACCTTCACACCTTCTTCCACCTCGACCTCCTTCACCCATCCACCAGTGCCACGCACCTCCACACCTTCTTCCATCTCCACCTCTTTCATCTGTCCAGCATAGGTAAGCACCTTCACACCTTCTTCCACCTCCACCTCCTTTAGTTATCCAAAATATAGAAATATCTTCACACCTTCTTCCACCTCCACCACCTTCACCCATCCGCCACAGCCAAGCACCTTGACACATTTTTCCACCTTCATCTCCTTTACCCATCGACTATAGCCAAACACCTTCACACCTTCTCCCACCTCCACCTCTTTCACCCATCCATCATAGCCAAGCACCTTCACATCTTGTTCCAACCCCACATCCTTCATCCATTCACCCTAGCCATTCACCTACACACCTTCTTCCTCCGCTACCACCTTCACTCATCCACAATAGCGAAGTACCTTCACACCTTCTTCCACCTCCACCTCCTTCACCCATCCGCCATAGCCAAGCACCTCCACACCTCCTTCCATCTCCACGTCCTTAACTCATCCACCATAGCTAAGCACCTTCGCGCCTTCTTCCACCTCCACCTCCTCCACCCATTCGCCCTAGTCAGGCACCTTCACCCCTTCTTCCTCCTCTACCTCCTTCACCGATCCACCATAGCCAAGCACCTTCATACCTTCTTGCACCTCGACCTCCTTCACTTATCCACCATAGCTAAGCACCTCCACACCTTCTTCCACCTCCACCTCCTTCACCCATCCCCCATAGCCAAGCACCTTCACACATTGGTCCACCCTCACCTCCTTCACCCATTCACCCTAGCCAGTCACCTTCACAGTTTTTTCCTCCTCTACCTCCTTCACCCATCCACCATAGCCAACCACCTTCACACCTTCTTCCATCTCCACGTTCCTCATCCATCCGCCATAGCGAACACCTTCACACTTCTTCCACCTCCACCTCCTTCACCCATCGAGCATAGGTAAGCACCTTCACACCTTTTTCCACCTCCACCTCCTTCACCCATCCACAATAGCGAAACACCTTCACACCTTCTTCCACCTCCACCTCCTTTACCAATCATCCATAGCTAAGCACCTTCACACCTTCCTCCACCTCCACCTCCTTTACCCATCCACCATAGCCAGTCACGTTCACACCTTTTTCCTCCTCTACGTCCTTTACCCATCCACAATAGCGAAGCACCTTCACACCTTATTTGACCTCCACCTTCTTCATCCACCCGCGATAGCCAAGCACCTTCACACCTTTTTCCACCTCCACGTCCTTTACGCATCCACCATAGCCAAGCACCTTCACACCTTCTTCCACCTCCACCTCCTTCACCCATTCACCCTACTGAGGCACCTTCACACCTGTTTCACCCGTCCACCATAGCCAAGCTACTCACACCGTCTTCCACCTCCAACTCCTTCACCAATCCTCCCTAGCCTGATCCCTTTACACGTTCCTCAACCTCGACCTCCTTCACCCATCCATCATAGCCAAGCACCTTCACACCTTGTTCCAACCGCACCACCTTCTACCATTCACCCTAGTCTGTCACCTTCACACCTTCTTCCTCCTCTACCTCCTTCACCCATCCACCATAGCCAAGCACCTTCTTTCACCTCCACCTCTATCCCCCATCCACCATAGCCAAGCATCCTTTCATCTTCTTTCACCTCCACCTCCTTCACCCATCCCCCACAGCCAAGTACCTCCACACCTTCTTCCACCTTCACCTCCTTCACCCGTCCACCATAGCCAACGACCTTTACACCTTCTTCCAGCCCCACCTCCTTCACCCATCCACCCTAGCCAGGCCCCTTCACCCTTTCTTCCACTTCCACCTCCTTCACGCATCCACTGTAGACAAGTACCTTCACACTGTCTTCCACCTCCACCTCCTTCACCCAACTACCATAGCCAAGCACCTTCACACCTTCTTCCACCTCCAACCTTCACTCATCCCCCATAGCCAAGTACCTCCACACCTTCTTCCACCTCCACCTCCTTCACAAATCCACCCTAGCCAGCCCTTTTCAAACCTTCTTCAACCTCAACCTCCTTCACCAGTCCACCATAGCCAAGTGCCTTCACACCTTCTTCTACCTTCACCTCCTTCACCCATCCCGCATACCCAAGTACCTCCACACCTTCTTCCACCTCTACCTCCTTCACCCATCCACCCTAGCCAGACCCCTTCACACCTTCCTCCACCTCGACCTCCTTCAACCATCCACCATAGCCAAGCACTTTCACACCTTTTTCCATCTCCACCTCCTTCACCCATCCGCCATAGCCAAACACGTTCACACCTTCTTCTTCCTCTACCTCCTTCACCTATCCTCTATAGCGAAGCACCTTCACACCTTCCTCCAACTCCACTCCTTCACTTATCTGCCATAGCCAAACACCATAGCCAAGCCCCTCACACCGTCTTCCACCTCCACCTCCTTCACCCATCCACTCTACCCAGACCCCTTCACACCTTCTTCCATCTCCACCTCCTTCACCCATCCACCATAGCCGAGCTTACCTTCTTACCTTGTTCCAACCCCACCTCCTTCTACCATTCACCCTAGCCAGTCACCTTCACACCTTCTTCCTCCTCTACCTCCTTCACCTATCCACCATAGCCAAGAACCTGCACACCTTGTTCCACCTCCACCTTCTACCACCTCTACCTTCTTCCACCTCCACCTCCTTCCCCCATCCACCATAGTCAAGCACCTTCACATGTTCTTCCACCTCCACCTCCTTCACCCATCCCCCATAGCCACGTACCTCCACACCTTTCTCCACCTCCACCTCCTTCACCCGTCCACGATAGGCAAGCACCTTCACACCTTCTTCCAGCTCCACCTCCTCCACCCGTCCACCCTAGCCAGGCCCTTTCACACCTTCTTCCACCTCCACCTCCTTCACGCATCCACTGTAGCAAAGTACCTTCACACCTTCTTCCACCTCGAACCTTCACCCATCCCCCATAGGCCATAGCCAAGAACCTCCACACCTTCTTCCACCTCCACCTCCTTCACCCATCCACCCTAGCCAGACCCCTTCACAGTGGTCACACCTTCTTCCACCTCAACCTCCTTCACCCATCCACCATAGCCAAGCACCTTCACACCTTCTTCTACCTTCACCTCCTTCACCCATCCTCATACCCGAATACCTCTATACCTTCTGCTATCTCCACCTCCTTCATCCATCCACCATAGCAAAGCACCTTCACACCTTCCTCCACCTCGACCTCGTTCACTCATCCACCTTAGCCAAGGAGCTTCACACCTTCCATCTCCACCTTCTTCACCCATTC